CATGATATGGGTCTTATTGATGCTTGTGTGCTAGTTTTCGAGGCGAAAAAGAAAACTCGTGATTTTAGGAAGTGATGTGTTCATAGACTGGTTGGAACTTCAGCTATTGCCCATTTAACAACGTCAGTGTCATTGTCATGGGTATCGCCAGTTAATATAACGTCCGGGAATCAGATACCAAATCACGAGTAGTCTGAAAGCGACGATACAGATTCATATACGTCATCAGCAGAGATAAATGCTACCTCAAGAAACCATCTGTAGAACAACAAATACGTCTGGATTCCAAAACCGTAACCTTCCAATACTCATCCCGTTTCATAGCTCTTAACTAGTCCATCATGTTTCCTAGCAAATATAATGCAGTACATATCCTAAATTGCTACCCCATCAATGCATGTCAATTAAGTACAGCAATATTTTGAGACCACCCCCAACTCGGTGACATTTGCACCTGGGAGAATGCAGGGACGGTGTGAGGTCATCACCTCGGGACAGCTGTTAGCTAGGTAATTACCACAGGTTATAGGCCACGTCATCCATGCACGACAACACAACAAGTTTATCATCATATAATCTGTAAACGCATATTTTAAGGGTAATCACAATGTCAGTTAGGACAGGCTAGATTAGGTCAATTCGCGTTATTTTGATCTTTGCTCTTATCATAGTCCTATAACTCGTATATATTAAATGAAGCCAGAAAAGCAGTTTTCTAGCATTTCCGACAGTATTTTAATAGTATTTTTCTCCAAATCATCTTTTTTACGCACACCACGAGTGGTGTTTGCTAATGATATGCATACCTATATATGCTTCAATGAACTAAGTGCAATAGTTTGTATAATTACGTATATAAATTCACCATCTGCTATCAACTCATATCACTGTGCGCATACCTTGACAGAGCACAGTTAATGAGCGTTTCTATCGTCATGCATGACAGACATTGAGACAGTTTGTTCAGTGAATCACAATTGCTATGTAGGTTGATGTTCGGGCTAATAAACATATCGACTTATCAGATACGACTTTTAAAAGATTTAGTAATGAAACATAGAAACATATTTATAGATATGTTTATAATAATAGTCTATTTATATTACGCATATTTCCACACTAAGGGGCATGCGCAAAGCGCTACTATTACCCTGGTCACTGGATGAATGCGCACTCAAGAATCATTCTCATCTCCCTGGGAAGTATTCAACCCAAACTGCCCTTTAGGCGCTGGAAGGTACATGTACGTACCATCTCATCCTACCAGGGACCCATTCACTGCTGGGCGAACAGAGGTCCATATTCGAACAAAGTCACCTGCCCAAGGAGAGGCCACATGTGGTACATGTGCTACAGTGTGGGGCGGGGCCGAAGCCCTAGAATCTCTCAGGAGCCAAATACAAAACCGATACCTGACTGGCGTGAAATGACACCTTTCGCCGGAAATATTCCGTCTACCACAATGACACACAGTAAGATCATGAAAAACGTTTAAAGAAACATAATAAATAAAGAGACTTTTGAAATAATATGTTTATGTTTATGTCACTCGTGGCACTCATTTTATTACCGTCTTCGTCATGCTTGTGGTTTTGACACAGAGGTCCATCCATGGTACGACCCGGAATATGTAGAGGGCGTCATGGAAAATGATAAATACAAAATCCTTTTGAATAGGCCCGTATATATCCTCAGACACATCCAGGCCAACAAACCTGATCTTGTCTTTTTTGATAAATCCAATGAGATCATTTATATAATTGAATTTTTTGTCCCTTTTGACAGTAATGTGATTGACAAGATTGAGGAAAAACATGGCAAATATGGGGACCTCGCTTTCGAAATGTCACGCTTGCATCCCAATTGCAAGTACCAAGTTGTCCGACTCCCCATAGTTCTCGTTGCCTTAGGTTTGGTACCTCCCAATCTGTTGACTGACATTGGGAGAGTACTCGGGTTTTCAACCAGGAATAAAGTCCTTCTGACAATCTGGGTAATGCAGAAGGCTGCAGTGTTGGGAGTCTTCACATCCTTCGAAAAGCTATGGGTGGGTTTGACTGGGCTGGGTGGGACTGGGAGAAGTCCCATTTGCTGTCTGAACTGCGTGTAGAGGGGGCAAGGGCCCTGAGCTGATGATGAGCCTAACCAGCCTGACTGTGCCAGGATCACCCAAACCTTCTTTACTGCATTTTTTATTTTAATCTGTAAATAATAATTGCGCCAAACTCCATACCAGCTCGTGTGCTCATGGCGCTTACATTATTAACCCAGTCAATGGATCAGGTGACGTGCAATATGATACCCCTGGTAATAGTAATAGTAAACATTTGATTTAAACAAAACTCTCTAGCACGTCACATATATTTACGACTAGTCATATATGTATGTAAAAAAACAAACATTAAACCGGACATATTTATTACTCACCCGTGAAGAAGTCACCCGTTTAATACACACGGTTGTATACACACACAGTAAAAGCGCGTGCTTATGTACTGCGGGAACTAGTTCACTACTAAAAACTCCCAATATCCCTGGGTCTTGCGACCGCGATGACCCCAGTAACCCTGTTGCTAGGCTGACGTCACATGGTGGATCGTGCAACAAAATCCACAAATTACGTCATAGGGCATTGTGACCTGATTGTAAACTTTGGTGCAGGACGCGTTCCAAAAAGGCAATCTTAGCGCAACGACAGTCGTAGGTCTAAGTATATGGGAGTTATGGATAACCTTAGCGCTACGATAGCTTTGTGCAACGGACCCCTGAATTCTAAAGATGGGCCGTTGTACTGCATTACATGAATAAGTATCGACAATGACCCGTTGGAAGTATTGTTTTCTTAAACTCAACTGGAGTAAGCTTTGGATCGCGTTGATGGCTGCCTATTCACACACGACAGTGTATTCAAAACATATATTATTATCGGCAAGTAATAAATAGAATCCTAAACTCGTTAATAATGGTATATACATTCTTATACAGTAAACTACGTTTATAACGAACACGCTTATAACGAACTGTTTTTTGGCCCCGTCCATTTGATGTATATATGCTGTGTATGTGCTTATAACGAACTACGGGTATTACGAAATATATTTAGTGGTCCCTTTAAGGTCGTTGTTACCTTAAACACAAGGTTTAAGGCCACCGTTCCATACCAATCCATGTCACGTCATTGACAGTCAGTGTGTTTGATTAACATTCTCTGACGTGTGCAGGAAAAACCAACATAGCTAATACTGACAATACTTACTGAGACCCAGACTTTTAGTTATAGTAATGTCCTTGTGCTGGTCTGGAGCTTACACTTTAATTCAGAGTGAGTGAGTTTAGTTTTACGCCGCTTTTAGCAATATTCCAGCAGTATCACAGCGGGGGACACCAGAAATGGGCTTCACACATTGTACCCACGTTAATTCAGAACTGCAGGTGCATAAACATAGCTTACTTCCAAATATAAGTGTGCATACGGGTTGCATACTTTCTTATGATTTTCATCACTATTAAGAAAGACGAAGATGCTTCAGACAGAGATAATTTATGGTTCCGTTATAGTTCACACGGGGGCACGGTTGGCCCAGTCGTTTTAGGCGCCGCTATTCGCTGTTCAGAGTTGCGTCCATTGGTCACGCCAGAAACCTAAGATTGAGAGTTCGAATCTTGGTTTGCCCCGATTATGTTTCTAGGTTTGTCAGCACCGTACCCGTGCTCGTGGGTTTCACCGCAGTTGTAAACGTCTGAGACCTGCATCACTTCGGGCTGTCCTTACACAGTATGCTTACACCCCGTGATATAACTGTAATACTGTTAAAAGCGGCGTTAAACCCAACTCACTCACTCACTATTCTTCACACACACCCTGTTGGCTGGTCTGGTGCTAATCATGTCATGGACGACTTCACATCAAATACGCGGACATTGAGACAAGCTTTTCTAAGGATATCAGTATCACGTATGGGAATGCGGGATGTATAGCCCACTGACGTAATTGAATATCACAAGCAAGCATCGTTTTATCTCTATAATGGTTCAAGTGAAAACTATTTGATACTTGTGACAGAAGTATTAGGGCGATCAAAGAATACGTGTTATACCAACGTATTCAATGGGCCAATTTGACTACAAGTAATAATATGGCGTCCTTTATTACAGGTGGTCAACCAAGCGTACATTGACCTTTCATACGCCATTGCCTCAGGGTGCAGATGTGTATCTATTCACCGTGTGTATTGTCAGGCATTATGGGGTTAAAGCTGTATTGACTGAGGTATTCAAACGCCGAGCTTGTTGCCATTCGGGTGTCCTTGGGCTATGTGATGATTAAATGTAGGTCAAATGGTGGCGCAGAATATGATGTGTCATCTCCTTATACCTATAACCCCCCCCCCCCCCCCCCCCCCCCCCCACACACACACACACACACACTCATCCCTCATCACTACACCCGGACTGCATTGAATTCATATTATGAGGCAGTGAGAGGGATAGTTTCTAGAATTACATGCATGATTTACTCAAATATACTTAAAATCAACTTTACAATTTATTTTTATCATGTTGAATAATTATAATTTACATCGGTTTATATTGCGTAGATCGATGCTCATGATGTCAATCACTGGGTTGTCTGGTCGATTATTTACAGACCGCGATTTACAGATTTACAGACCGCCGTTATATAGCTGGAACATTGCTTAATGCGACGTTAAACAACAAACAAACAAACATTTGTTTATGGTTGGATTGTGTAGGTACCAAATACATGTAGTAGGATACTAATTAAAAAAAATAACATGAATAATTAATAAGACTTCGATAATGTAATTGTTAGGTGTGTTATTAAGTAAATATAAGTACACACATCTTAAATGTACACACGTTATTACAATCCACTCTACGACAGTTCGGCTTTCATGTGATAACTCCAATATAGATATAACGTGCACCCCTTGATTAACATCTAATGTTGGTTGGAAAATAAATATAAGCATACTCACAGTGTGCCAACTGAAAATAAAATACCACAGCCTCCGTGTAATCAACACATGAAGGTAGTCGCTGTGTGTCTCCCAGGGGTTGCACATGGTATTAATCTGTCTGAGCCAGGATACCACCTTGTCAATGTAACATTGCGCATGAGCAAACGTTTAGTGAAAATGAAGCAGCCCGAAAAGCTGGTGAACCCTGCCATGATTGTCTGCAGGTTTGGGGTGACCGTCCTATATTTTAACCCGTCCAGCAGGTATGCAAGGCTGTATTGACTTAGCGTCAATCCCACATCGAGTTGGATATCTGTACTTAGTTTAAGCAGGACCTGTTACAAAGATTGAAAGATCATAAAGATGATGTAACATATGTCTGTGTGGCAGTGTTATATATATATATATATATATTTATATATATATATGTGTGTGTGTGTGTGTGTGTGTGTGTGTGTGTGTGTGTGTGTGTGTGTGTGTGTGTGTGTCTTCTTTATTTTGTATACAGTAAACTCAAAGGTGAAACTAATTTAGTTCGTTATGACCATAGTTCATTATAAGCATATACCTATACAGCAAAAGGACGGGATCAAAAACAGTTCGTTATAAATGTGGTTTACTGTACATATACTGTTTTGCAATGAAATGATGTTTTGACCTTCTACTATGTTACATTAAATTAAATAAACCCGTATAGCCGCCTTATTCTACAGCGCTGCTTTCAGCGGAATATTTTTGTAAGTATATGTTTCCGGGCGTTTGTTCTGACCGTCTTCAATAAATCCTCCTTACATACAACGACCTGTGTTATCTATGAACATCCCCGGTTACATCTGTTTCATCAGCTCCGACTCTGCATCATCATCGATATATTAACATACTGCTCCGGATAATTAACAAATAAAATGATGGAACAAAAATACTTCATTCTGCAGAATTCCTTCACAGTGGGAACTACACACTAGTATTTCAGTGAGTGAGTGAGTGGACACCAGAAATGGGCTTCACACATTGTATCAATGTCAGGAATCGAACCCGGGTCTTAGGCGTGACGAGCGAACGCTTTAACCACTGGGCTACCCGACTGCCCCAAGTATTTCAGTATTTGCATATAAATAACAGTAGTATAGCATGGATTCGAAGATAACATGAAACATCATCAAATATCACAGATAAAACAAATGGAAACTGCAAAATCTTATGGCTATGAATTTGAGTAAACATATCATATCGGAAATGTTTTGATAAATATGGCGATAATTTTCGAGGAATAATGGATACATGCCGATTAATATATAGATATAAGTATTACTACTACTTCTACTTCTACTGCTGTTGCTACTACTACTACTAATGTTACTACTACTGCTGCTACTACTACTACAATTTCATCTTCAACTACTACTACTACTACTGCTGCTGTTGCTGCTGCTACTACTACCACTGTTACCACCACTACTACTACTACTGCTGGTGCTACTACTACTACTACTACTACAACTGTTGCTGCCACTTCTACTACGGCCACTGCTACGACTGCTGTTGCTGCTACCACTACTAATGTTACTACTACTACTACGACTACTAATGTTACTACTACTGCTGCTACTACGACTACAATTTCATCTACTATTTCAACTACTACTATCAGTACTACTACCACTACTACTACTGTTCAGGGTACAGTGCTATTCCGTATGGCTATGTACAGGGTGTTGTCACGATATTTACTATACGCATTCGCAATAGAGATAAATTGTTTATATTGAGTTTTGAACATATGAAACTGTAAGGGATTTTGAATGAAAAATAAAAACGTCTATCCCTGATAAATTCTCATTTGAAATATCGTTTCGGGACCATCGCTCGCTGTATCCTGGACATTGTACCCCATGCTTGAAACAACAGTGACATGGCTCAGCTACCGTTAAGTGACGGCATAGAGAGTGTAAGCAAGGCCATATACATCTGGGTTGTTATTACAAGGGGCGGTGGGAAGGGTAAGCCTGCCGTTAACACATGTGTCCTGTGTGTGTGAAGGCTATTGCAGGTGCCCCCGCTGTGATATGGTCTGGGCTATTGTAAAAAGCGGCGTCAAGCTCAACTCCCTCAAACACTATCATTATATGGCTACTTCAGTGTAGAGTGAGTGGATTTTTTAATAAAAGATTCTAAACGTACTAAATGATCGATGGTACTACGAATTTTGCGGAAACCACATTAAATGTTAGCAATGAGATTGTTGGTTTCCAAGAACCAAACTAAACGATTTATAATCATAAGGTTCCATAGTCATATGGGTCCACACGGGGGAAGAGCTATTAGCGTTCCCCAGCACTCACTACTTGGAGGTTCTTCACGAGTGCCCCGATCATAAATAACGTGGACGAGTCAGAGTGAGTGAGTCTGTCAACAGTTGAACGCCACAGCGGCAAGATTGGTTTTATATTTGGATCCATAATCACAGTTATTCATCCTCTGCTTTAACGGGTCAGAATGTGGGACGAAAATCATTCACATACCCGGAAAATGTCGGGTTCAAAAGCTAGGACACGGTCTCATTTCAGGGTTTTGTCGGTGTTATTCAACCCCAGTTGGTGCCCTTTTGTCCTTTGTTGTTTAACATAGAGTTTAAGATACTTTTTGTCATTAAACAATATATCACGCAACTAACCACGGGTCTGGGGAGTCCTGTGGGTACCCGGGTCCTACTCAGTACCCACCCGACCCGCGTACCCGAGTTACATGTCCCAGCCCTAATAGAGATTATTATACGATCATGTGTGACATACTGATTATACAAAAAGATATTCTTGTATTTCCCGAGCGAGTGCGAATGTAATACATGCATTCTTACACGAGTTTCGTAAAATCAGTGACACACATGCGAGTGTAATAATTTCTTTATTACCATTATGTATTAAGATAATTACTGCTTTATGCTTCTTCTATTGTATGATAAACCATTTATGAGAAAAGAGTATTGCCATTCATATGGCACAAGTGGGTATTTTCAAACTTTAGGTCACAGCAGGACAGCAGGCACTTCTCTGGATAAGTCAATACTTTTCGACCCACATTCTGACCCGTGAGTTTCAACACAGCACCCGACAACGAAAATACCCGGCGTATCTATTTTCGGTGTTTGTGAGTTGACAAGGTGTGAGTGTGCGTGCGTGCGTGTTGTGGGGGAGGGATGTGGGATGTGGGATGTGGAGGTTCAGTTTATAATGGAGACAAGAAGGTCGTGATTGGCGCCGCAATTCGTTGTACAGCGTTGCGGCCATTGTGTGGTGTAGAAATTCAGGATTAACCGTGGTCATGGCCCTTGTCTGTCGCCGCTTTAACTTCTACCGCTTACGCTTTTTGGGACGCTCCCCACATATAAACGAGTGAATGACTGGATTGGGGTTTAAAGGGGCATTTGCGGTAGTGACTACCCCACTCTCGTGGGCGAAACTTATACGAGTGATCTGACAGGTCGATATGACGTCATGATAACACACTAATTTAATTGGTTAATGTGTAAACAACCACCCACGTGGACCGTTTTTAAAGGACGTAAGTTTTAATGGTTTCAAACGATTCCAAGACTTTTCAAGAAACACGTAAGTTATTGGTTTCAAAATCACATCTTCATGAAATGATGCCGTGGAATGTCCACGATTTATCCAACACAGTCCAACACACAAACTATAGTTCTGAGCTATTCTCTGGACGAGAACGAAATACGATTGTCGTGATGAATAAGGGCAGTGTAATTGAACAGAAAAACATAATATGTGTTACGACACCAATCGTTATCCTGTGGTGTACGGTATGTCTGCAGTTTATGAATAGCATTTCTCACAATATATACGGCAATCGGTGATTTCAACAGTGTTTTTGTTCGTTGTGTTCGTCTTGCCTTCAATTGGAATCTGGATGACAACGATCGGTTAAAAAGCCCTCGTAATGGTCAAATCTATTTTCAAGTGATGAATGTAGGTTTTTGTCTTTTCCATGACATGATTTCATTGCCAAGTATCAATGTGTTTTGGCAAAGTCACACTTGTCCGAAAGCACCTCATGCCGAAGTAACTCGATCCGTGAAACTTGGCGGGTCCCAGTGACCCAGATTCGCTTTTGATTGGCATGCCAAATGTCATTTGCATGAGGCCATCCATGTATTTTGTGTGTTTCACCCCTCAAGCCTCAACTGACCAGAGAGCGGGCGGGTGAAATAAAATGTATTACTTATAAAAAAAATTCTTTCAATAATTGTGTAAGTTATTTTATGCCATTAAAAAAAAAATTAAACACTTGGTACTAGAATCTAGTCTATGAATTAATTTATGATGTAGATCGATTCGCTTTAATTTGCTTCGGAAACGAATTTTTAATAAAAAACTGAAAAAGATAAAGTTGACCTGGTGGATCTAGTAGTAATACTTTTATTAGTTCAGTGCGCAATTTTCCATAGTGCCAGCAACATTGAGACACGGAAACTTTATATTATTTCACATTTGAATGGAGATAGAAAATTTAAAATACGGACAGCCTCACATACTTCGAAACGATATTCAGATAAATATTTGTTCACATTAATTCTGCCATGTGCGTGAAAATGGATTGTAACATTATTTTCATCAAGTTTATTCAGGTCACTGGCTCCTACTACTTCGGCATGAAGACATGTTTGGTCTGGAAGCTCAAAGCAACAAAGTTTCTCTTAGATGCATTTTTTCCCTGTCCATGACGAGCATGTCATAATGTCAATGCCTCGACAATCTTCCTGGTCACTTGCATTCAACAATGTCATTCGAGGTGTCATCACAAGATTCCTTCCAAATACCCACCACGTGATCAGGGTTACGACATTGGGATGGATTAATAAATTAATTTGCATTTTTAGAAAAGAAATGTTATCGTTAAAAAACACCCTGTACATGGTACTGTTTGACTGCACTGCTGATTTCTTTTATTACTTTCTAAAACGTTTTGTTTTCCCCCTTTCTGACCACGCGATCTCCTTGCAACCACGCCCCATGAGCGCATCCGCTTACAACTGTGCAAGTTCGCTTATCTTCAATATGAGCAACAAAACATCTTCATATGACGCTTAATTTGAAGGAGAGTTTTCGAGATGGTCAGGGAGCCTTTGGTCGTTTAGATTATGATAATGGTGACTTTATCGTGGAGAAAGTTCCAATTCAAGATGAGGACA